GAAACTCGCTTCTTGTTTCTTCAAAAATTTAAATACAATGTCAATTACTATCTTCTGTCTTCATGAATCCTGTTTCTTTTATTCTTGTTTCTCCTCAGTAAAGATTTCTCATTTTCATTCAATTATTACAATAATAGTAACAAGAATCCTTGATGATAATCATTTCTGTTCATTATTACATTAAGAATAATAATTAACAATCATTAATGATAACTATTTCTGTTTATTATTACAATAATAATAATAATAATAATAATATAATAACAATCCTTGATGCTTATCATTTCTTTTCAATATAACAATAATAATAGTAACAATAATAATTAATCCTTGGTGGTAATCATTTCTGTTCATTATTACAACACTGTTTATATTAACTGCTTTTGATATAAAATTATCTTAATAATTTTTCAATTTTTAAAATAATGTAGAATGTTTCTTAACATTATTTTAATTAAAGCATATATAGAAAATGAAATTTGGTGAAAATATAACCCTCATAGAAAATAATAATAATAATAATAATAATAATAATAATAATAATAAAAAAAAAAAAAAAATTAACATGAAATGTGGCCATAACAACACACCACGACCTGCCTTAGGTCTTTCCGCAGACTTGGTAGGTAGTGTGTCCATAGCAGAAATCGAATGATGATGATGATAATAATAATAATAATAACAAAAACCAGAAAGAAAAAACTTGCCTACTAATTGATATGGCTTGTCCAGCGGATTGTAACATAGCAACCAAGGAATTTGAAAAACTATCAAAATACAAAGACCTGGAAATTGAAATAGAAAAAATGTGGAAATTGAAAACAAGAATAATACCAGTGGTAATAGGTGCACTTGGAATTATAAAAAATGGAACAAAACAACACATTGAAAGAATCCCTGGAAACCCCAGCTTAAGAGACATACAGAAAATTGTCTTATTAAGTACAGCACACACACTAAGGAGAACTTTGTCTATGTAACGCTAGCAACTTCATCGGAGATAAAAAAAAAAAAAAAAAAAAAAAAAAATTAACATGAAATGTGGCCATAACAACACACCACGACCTGCCTTAGGTCTTTCCGCAGACTTGGTAGGTAGTGTGTCCATAGCAGAAATCGAATGATGATGATGATAATAATAATAATAATATAATAATAATAATAATTGTTCTCACAGGTACAGCCCACACCATATGAAGGGCTTTATCTATGTAAAATATATGTTTTTTTTTTATTATTATTATTTGGTTACTGGAAAATGTCATGATGCTATTTCTGACCTTAGGTCTCTCTCTGGGTGGGACCTGGAAAGAAATGAGTAGACACCAGAAATCAAAGGAAATAATAATAATAATAATAATAAAATAGTTCTAACAAGCTCATATCCTGCAAAGAGCTTTGTCCATTTAATTTTTTTAATAGCTGTCTTTTGTTTAAGTGAAAAAAGAACAAAAAATCACATTCTTCACTTGCCATAGATCAATGATTAGGACCCGACATTTGATTATAAAGCAAATGCCAGGTGGTACACTGTTCCCATTCCATAAGGTTATATTGTTTAATTCTTATTTTTAGTACTGCGCAGTTATTGCTAATGTTATAAAATAAAATAAGACAAATCTTGGCTGATTTGCAGGCAAATAAACTAACATACTCAAGAGCAAGAGCTGGATGTGAACCGGACAAAGCCCCACCACAAAATGACCATTATCGTCGTTTGCGCATAGGCCTGATGCACGAGTTCCAGTTGAAAAATAAAACAATATTTTAAAGTGTTTCTATTTTTCGACCAATAAAAATGCTTCCCTCCTAATTATACTCGCGTCATTTTTCGAGCCTGTTAAGCCATAAAAAACATCATAAAAGGGGTCACATGGGGAAGTACAGAGCAGTCAACAGGAGGCCAGGGAAGAGACCTGTCACAGTCAGGCTGAGTGGTCAGCAGCAGTCAGCAGGAGGAGTGCCACGCCAACCAGTGAGACCTACTATGAGAGATCAACCCAGGTCGGAAGCGGCTTATGAACTATATATACCACAAGGTAGCTGTGCCAAACCCACACGTTCCTGTTGAAATAAATCACATAAATCTATTTCTGCTGTTGTCGTATTTCTTTCTTGCAACCATACGCTTGTCTATAACACTAAGAATTTTTACTCTGAGTCCACATACACACTGCTCAACCCAGGGATTGAACTCACAATTATTATATTGTACATTAAATAATGGGTTCAGTTTTGAATTTCCTGTAGGTTACCTGGAACGAAATACACCTGACGAAGGTTGAATGGTCGAAATGATAACAACAACAAAGATGAGGACAATAGTTAGCATGTAAATGATGTAAATAATTTCAGCCTTTATAAAAGTGTTTTCTCTCAAACACATAATTGTCTTATCTGATCCAGTTAGATCAATGTATGCAAAACTTGTATATCTTTATTTTCAGTGTGTAGGGATACAAAAGATGATTGTCTCCCTTTCATTGAAATAGTCATGAGGGTCATGTTGAAAAGAAGGATATCCCTAGACTACAGGTAGATCTTACAGGACAAACGACATGGCCTCACCAGGTTGATAGAGAAACTGCTGTAACTCCAGTTTTCACTTTGGGAAATATTACAAGTAAGCCTTCCCTTTATTTACACATTGTTTGTTGTTGCATATATGTTATAATTTCTCTGTGGGGGACATGTGTATATATGTATATATAAATTTGTGTACAACATAGTATTATAAAACTCACTCTGAGAACAAAGCATGTTTGTCATTCCGTTTTCATTCAGCTATTTCATTCCATCCATGAAGTATGGTGGTATTATGTCACAGATTTAATAATGCCCATAATGGGGGAAATAAAAATAGGAGAATAAACCTTTTGACCATAGCTCTCTCTTGTTATAAATGAGTCAATATAAATGATATCTTCTTGTCCCAGAAATTCAGACAGAATTGTTGAAATATTTAATTTGACAATAACTCTGTTTCGCTGCCGTTATGAGAGTTTAATCTTTGGTTTCAGTAATCTTAATTAAATTTCCTAACATTGATAAACACTATTAATGACGCTACCAATTGAACTACTGTCTTTGCTAGAACTGAATAAAACAACAAAGATTCAGATGCTTTTTTCTTGGTTTGTAGGAGTATACTTTATTTTTACATGAAAATAACCATAATTTATTCAAGATAATCATTTTCATTTCATATCAAATTGTTCAAATACAGAAAAAAAAAGTAAATGTTTTGTTCTTTGACATTGTTTGCATATTTCGGCTGTGAACAATCGATTAGTGAGTGGGCTGAAAGCATAAATATATTGATAACTAATAATATAAACAAGGAAGTCTTTGCAATGATCTGAAAATACAAGAAGGGGGAATAATTTGGAAGAGAGGGACAAATGTAAGGCGGAGAAATTTTTTTTTGTTTTCATTTCTCTCAAATGTTAAGATTGATAATTGTCATAGCAGGCATATACATTATACCCAAATGTTAACAGTCCGTTTCAGACCTATCTTACATGCTTGAGAGTAGTCACAACCTTAGACTTAGTTAAAACCTAAATATTCTTATTTTTCTTCTCCTTTGAATATACACTCTTTAGCACTAGAGGGCATCATCAGCGATGTTCTGATTTGCATCATTGGGCAGTTTCGGGTCTTTCAAACATCATACTACCCTGACTAAGTCGACCCCCATCAGAGCTGATCAGTCTCTGATATGCCCCCTGATAAATTAACAGCCTTTAGACACTGACTTATAAACCATAACCTGCTATCATGCATTTGATTGGAAGTTGACCAACAGCCAATCATAATGGTGTGAACTCTATTTAAATTGTTTATGGGGGATTTTTTCTTTTTTTTTTTTATGTGGAAGGTAATTATATGTTTTCCATTTTTTCCCCCTTTTTCCTCCCCTTCCTTTTTTCTTCCTTTTCTTCCTTCTTTTCGTTTTTCCTTTTTTTTTTCATCACTTATCAAATTTCATCGCACCAGCTAATAATTACTGTTATTAATAAAAATATACACTGTGATCATGACTCTCCACAGTTTCCTATCCTTTGTAGCTCTAAGTAAGTTTTATCTTTTCAATATGTCTCCTAATCCCTATTCTGTCAACCATTTACAGAATCTCATTAGCTACCATATTTGTCGTTGTAAAAAGATAGTTTTTTTTCCTAAAATAAATCTTGAAAATCTGCATAGCATCAGTAATTCTAGCATAGATAACCTTCCTCTGAGGTTAGCATAAGCCTATGAAAACCATAACCTTTGTCCACAAACAAATCTTCAAAACTTATTTCAGGAAAATAACTGTCTTTGATACTGACAAATATGGTAGGTTATGCATTGCTTTCTTATGTCTATATTTTCCTTCATTTTGTTCTACCAATATTAAATTTTCTAAGCAATTAAGAAATTCCAACTATCTCTTTCTGATGTTAAATATAAGTTACTCAAGTTCACTGGGGAGGTTATGCATCGGTTTCTTCTACTTCTCTTTCCTTCAATCTGTCCTGTGAGTATCAAATTTTTCAAGTTCTCTTTCCTCATTATATGCCCTAGAAATTTCAACAGTCTCTTCCTGATGTTAAGTATAAGTGTCCTTTTTGTTTCCATTTTCTCTAAAACTTGCTAGGTAGGTTATGCATTGTTTTCCTCTATCCCTCTTTGCCTTCAATCTGTCCTGTGAGTATAAAATTTTCCAAGCCCACTTTCCTGATTATAGGCCATAGAAATGTCAACACACTCTTGCTGATTCTAAGCATAAGTGTCCATTTTGCTTCCATTGTCTGTAGGACTTCAATTTTGCTTGCATGTTCATTCCATGGAATTCTCAACATCCTTCTGTAGAACCACATTTCTGTTGCTTCAAGTCTCCTTATCATCTGTGAGGAGACTGTTCAGCATTCACTGCCATTTAGGAAGACAGATATCACATAACTGTTCAGTACGCTTTTCTTTGTTTTTAACAAAATTTTCATGCTTCTTAATACTTAGATTCTGGAAATATATAAAGAGAAAGAAAGATATAAAATTATAATGAGAAAGAAAGATAGAAAGAAGGATATAATGATATAAAGAGAAAGAAAGATATAAAGATATAGGGAGATAGAAAGATATAAAGATATAAGGAGAAAGAAAGATATAAAGATATAGGGAGAAGGAAAGATATAAAGATATAAAGAGAAAGAAAGATATAAAGATATAGGGAGAAGGAAAGATATAAAGATATAAGGAGAAGGAAAGATATAAAGATATAAAGAGAAAGAAAGATATAAAGATATAGGGAGAAGGAAAGATATAAAGATATAAGGAGAAGGAAAGATATAAAGATATAAAGAGAAAGAAAGATATAAAGAAAGAAAGAAAGAAAGAAAGATATAAAGAAGAAAGATATAAAGATATGAAGAGAAAGAAAGATAGAAAGAAAGAAAGAAACAAAGATATAAAGAAAAAGAAAGATATAAAGAAAGAAAGAAAGAAAGATATAAAGAAGAAAGATATAAAGATATGAAGAGAAAGAAAGATAGAAAGAAAGAAAGAAACAAAGATATAAAGAAAAAGAAAGATATAAAGAAAGAAAGAAAGAAAGATATAAAGAAGAAAGATATAGAGATATAAAGAGAAAGAAAGATAGAAAGAAAGAAAGAAACAAAAATATAAAGAAAAAGAAAGATATAAAGAAAGAAAGATATAAAGAAGAAAGATATAAAGATATGAAGAGAAAGAAAGATAGAAAGAAACAAAGAAACAAAGATATAAAGAAAAAGAAAGATATAAAGAAAGAAAAAAGAAAGAAAAGATATAAAGAAGAAAGATATAAAGATATGAAGAGAAAGAAAGATATAAAGAAAGAAAGAAAACAAAGATATAAAAAAAAAAAGAAAGATATAAAAAGAAAGAAAGAAAGAAAGATATAAAGAAGAAAGATATAAAGATATGAAGAGAAAGAAAGATAGAAAGAAAGAAACAAACAAAGATATAAAGAAAAAGAAAGATATAAAGAAAGAAAGAAACAAAGATATAAAGAAAGAAAGAAAGAAAGAAAGAAAGAAGAAAGATATAAAGATATGAAGAGATAGAAAGAAAAAGAAACAAAGATATAAAGAAAAAGAAAGATATAAAGAAAGAAAGAAAGAAAGATATAAAGAAGAAAGATATAAAGATATGAAGAGAAAGAAAGATAGAAAGAAAGAAAGAAAGAAAGATATAAAGAAAAAGAAAGATATAAAGAAAGAAAGAAAGAAAGATATAAAGAAGAAAGATATAAAAAGATATGAAGAAAGAAAGAAAGAAAGAAAGAAAGAAAGAAAGAAAGATATAAAGAAAAAGAAAGATATAAAGAAAGAAAGAAAGAAAGATATAAAAAAAGAAAGATATAAAGATATGAAGAGAAAGAAAGATAGAAAAGAAAGAAACAAACAAAAGATATAAAAAAAAAAAAGAAAGATATAAAGAAAGAAAGAAACAAAGATATAAAGAAGAAAGATATAAAGATATGAAGAGAAAGAAAGATAGAAAGAAAGGAAGAAACAAAGATATAAAGAAAAAGAAAGATATAAAGAAAGAAAGAAACAAAGATATAAAGAAAGAAAGAAGAAAGATATAAAGATATGAAGAGAAAGAAAGATAGAAAGAAAGAAAGAAACAAAGATATAAAGAAAAAGAAAGATATAAAAAAAGAAAGAAAGATATAAAAAGATATAAAGATATGACGAGAAAAAAGATATAAAGATATAAAGAAAGATATAAAGATATAAATAGAAAGAAAGATATAAAGATATTGTTGTAGCTCACCTATGGACAATAATGGGTATGTCCCCATTCACATAAATACTGTAGTAAATACAGTATGTTGGTCTGCAGTTTGAGATTCGTCTCCTGCTGTTCTGGTCAAACTCTCTACCTCCGGGCAGAGAGGATCCCTGGATGAGGCTATGTCGAAGGGCAGAGTCTCGTCTCAGGAAACAGCTACCTGACACCCGTTTTATATGGGGTTTATGGGGAATTTTTGGCCAAGCCTATGGGCTCAAATACCCCACATTAAATTCAGCCTTGTGTCACATCTGACCACATGGGGCAGTTGGTAGATATCCTGTCTTTGGAGATTCATTGTGGAATTCACTTGACTCACTTCTAGCAGTTGACTACATCTTCTATGTGCCGCTGGGAAATCTTTTATGTGTTGTTCTTGTCCTAAGTATAATCATTCATTACCAACCTTCATTTGATTATTCTATTCAGTAACATTCTCTAGGTTACAATAGATATAAAGGAAGATATAAAGAGAAAGAAAGTTATAAAGAAAAAGAAAGATATAAAGATAGAATGAGAAATAGAGATGTAAAGATATACAGAGAAAGAAAGATATCTATGAAGATAAACAGAAACAGGTGTATATCAATATTGCACTCTGATTCAAATTAGATTTCTTTCTAATTCACTGAAGATGTTGGCCGGAAGTGAACGTTAAGAAAGCAAAACCAAAAATAAAAAGTTGTTCTCTGCACATGGTCTCTGAGCATCACATCCAACCCGTAAAACAAATCTCCTCAATAATAAAAAAATAACAAGCATAAAATATAAGCCTCAAATGACTGAGGCAGGAGCAAGGAGAACCCGTCAACTGTTGACTTCTTGCAGGCTCTTGCTGTTACCACCATGACTTCGGTCAACCAACCTAACACACACATCCACTCAAGACCCAACCTTCTCTGAATTGCTACATCTCACACACAGAGACACTGCTCACATCCTCTGTATCAGCCTGGACAGATTTGTGATGAACGGCAAGCTTCACTAATCCACTCCAGGCCTCTCTCAACATCCCACTATAACCTCAGTCAACCAACCCAAGAAACACATCAACTTTAGGTCTTACAAACTCAACCATTCCTTCAAAAGCCACCCTCTCACCTACATTACAGACATTTCATTCACATCTGCTGTATCAGTAATGCAAAAGAATTTTACATTTACAATTCTTGTTTTCTTTTCCTTTCACCTCACCAGTAGTACTGTTTTTTCAGCTATTATCACATGGAGGCAGCATGGCATCGACATTTGTTCAAGCAAGCACATGAACTGTTGCGTCGATCCTGCAGTTCCTCTCAGACTGGAGGGGATAGCTGTGGCCATGGCTGACATAACACGCATGTCAATCAGTAGGATAAAACTGACGACGGTCTAAACCCAGCTCATGTTCAGCTGCCTCTTCCTTATGTTAGGTATAAGCTTCCTTCTTGTTTGCATCCTCTCCAAAACCTCATCATTGCTCACAGGCTCAGTCCATGATATCCTTAGCATCCTTCTGTAGAACTATACCTCTGTTGCCTCAAGTCATTTCTTCATCTTTGAGGAGACTGTCCAACATTCGCTGATGTAAAGGAGGACAGATGTCACATAGCATCACAGTGCATTTTCTTTATTACATTATTTGGACTAGTGTCCTCATCTTTGTCACCATATTTATTACAACATTTCAGCCGATGCTCTGGTCTGCTTCAAGTGGTTGGAATGTTGAACTGAACCCTTTATTTCACTCACTGGGGTAGATTGTTCTAGTTCCATGTGCCATGATTAATGGATGTCAGTTATCAGTTATCTCCTGTTAATTCCCCTCTCCAAGTTCTCCACTGCCTTAACTGGGTATTGAACTCACACTCTTTGGGTCATGTCACTGGATCTAACTAATGCCTTTATCCACTGTGCCATGCGTCCTTGAAGAAGGCTGGAGTGTACAATGGCTGAAACGTTGTAATAAATATGGTGACAAAGATGAGGACACTAGTCCAAATAATGTAAATAGTGTACATAATACCTCATCTTAGAAATATAGACAGATACTACATTTTCTTTGTTACCAAAGAAATCCTCCTGTATCATAATACTCTGCTATCCCAATATGTCTTTGGATGTACATTTTCTGATTAGGGCGTACTTTAAAACATCTCTTGAGAAAAAAAAGTTTGAAATTACTTAATTTGTGTCAATTTTGCATTCCTATGACAATGGAAAATTATAAGGTGCATTTTAGATACTTGATACTTTTTTTTACTGTAAAGGCAAAAATGCCTTGCAGACAACAAAAAAGATATGTTCTGTGAACAGTGAAGGTGCTTTAGCTGACAGAACTGTACGGAAGTGGTTCATTAAGTTCAGAGTTGGTGATTGTAGCATTATTGATGAAGAATGCTCAGGCAGACCTCACCCAACCACTACAGCTGACAACCATATCAAGACATTGTTTGAGAATAACCTGCATTACACAATGTAGGAATTGGCAGAAATGCTAAATTTTTCAAAATCCACCATCCATGAGCACTTAGTGAAACTTGTCAATTCAAATTGCTACAATGTTTGGGTGCCACATGATCTGAGTGGAAAGAATCTTTTGGGTTACATTTCATGTGTGATTTGCTGTATAAACTGAATTAAAATGCACCCCCTTTTAAAGCAAAGTGTGATGGGTGATGAGAAATGGAACATTTACAACAATGCTCAGTCAAAAAGATCTTGGGGTAAGCAACATGAACCAACTTTAGCCACTTCAAAATCAGGTCATCATTCTAAGAATGTCATGCTGTACAACTGGTAGGATTGGAAAGGAATCCTGTACTATAAGCTTCTGCCAAGTAACCAGTCAATTGATTCTAAAAATTGATGCTCGCAACTGGAAGAATTAAAAGCAGCAATTCAAGAAAAGGAAAAACACCCAGAATTGGTGAACAAGAAAGATGTTGTTTCCCATCAGGATAGTACCAGACCTCACATTTCTTTGGCAACCCAGCAAAAATTGTTGCAGTTTGGCTGGGATGTATTATTCCACCTTCCATATTCATCAGAAATTGCTCCTTTTGATTTTTCATTAGATTTTCCTTGCAAAATAATCTCAATGGTCAAAATTTTAATTCTTTGGATGACATTAAAAAAAAAAACACCATAATGAGTTCTTTGCTGAGAAACCACCAAAATTCTGGGAAGATGGAATTTTAAGTTGTAGAAAAAAATGGAGAAAGTTTGTACAACAAAATGGTTCATATTTAGTTGAATAAATATTTAATGATATAGTTTTGTTTTGTGTTTTAATTTCCTTTGAACTTTCTGGACAAACAAATAAGAACACGAAAGAGACATTTTACAAAATAATACGTGAAATGTGTTGGTTGCCTACCATAATGAGATAGACCACAAATTTGACATAAAAATGCAACTCCTATCAAAGGAGAAAATAATTCCCTATGATGTAAATATCTAGAGAGTGCCTTGATTCCAAGGTCATCTACAGTAAATTTGCACCATGGCACTTACAACATTTCACTATTCCTGGCAGATCTTCTAATATCACAGTGTGGAATATGGAAAGAAAAAGAAAAAGACTAAATGAATTTGGTTAGATTAAAATAAAATAAAAATTCCAAAATTCCCAGCATCCCTCTGTTGTGTGCATGTGTAGTCCTAGCAACATAACAAATTTAGTGCTACACAATCCAACATTAAATACATTGACCAATTGCATACATATATATGCAACATCACATGAATATGCATAGATGTCTAGTCCTACACTGTTCATATATGTTTATGTTTGTGTGAGCTGCATGTATGTAAGTCTGTGTATGTATGAGTGGCGTTCCTACTACAATTTTTCCTCCCACTATCATAAAAACACCGATATACGCAACCATATATAAATCCAAAATTTAAAAATTAATTATTTGTCTGACAATCACAACTAGCATGAAACTCAGGTTCACACATACTCACATCAATACAACTAAATATATATATATATATATTAAATCTGGAGAGCCAGACAAACATACCATGGTGAAACCTTGGTAGGTTTGTCTGGCTCTCTAGGTTTAATTAGGTCTGCCCTACTCATTGTATTGAGCACTTTATTTAGTTATTTTGGGTACTTGCATCAGGGTTTTTTCTTTGGACCTTGAACTCGTATGCTGGACAATTATTTTTGGTTAACGTACATGTTCTTGGTTCTTTCTTTTTTATACCTTTTTTCCCATTGGTGTTGGCTTGTTTATTTGCAAATCAATATACTGAAGGTTTTCTGAAAAAATAAGATATATATATATATGTATATATATATATATATATATATATATATGTGTATATATATATATATATATTGTATATATATATATATATATATATATATATATGTATATATATATATATGTATATATATATGTATATATATATATATATGTATATATATATATGTATATATATATATATATGTATATATATATATGTATATACGTATATATATCTGTATGCACATATGTATGAATATATATATATGTATGTATATATATATGTATATATATATATGCATATATATATATGTATATATATGTATATATATATATGCACATATATATATGTGCATGTATGTATCTATGTATATATGTATATGTATGTATATATATGTATATATATATATATGTTGTATACATATGTATATATATATGCATATATATAAATGTATATATATATATGGTTTTTATATGGACCTTGAATGCATGTATATATACCATATATATATGTATATATGTATGTATGGAATAATCATGGATGTACATATATATGTATATATATATGTATACATGATAAATTCATGAACAATTTTGCGTAATTCGTCAGATTACATAATGTATCTCATGCATGTATAATATATGTATGTACATATATATGTATGTTTATATATATAATATGTATGTATATATATAATGTATATATAATGGAAAGATATATGTATGCACAACATCGTATTTGTATGGATATACAAATATGTATATATATGTATGCCCAAATATTTTGATATATATAATGTATAATAGTTCATGGTTATATGTATATATATTTATATGTATATATATATATGTATATATATATATGTATATATATATGTATGTATATAGCCAGTATATATATATATATGTATATATATATAATATATAAATGTATAAATATATGTATATATATATGTATGCACACACATACGCACATATGTATATATATATATGTACACACACATACGCACACACACACACACACGCATATGTACGTACACACACACATATATATACGTATGTATATATGTATATGCATATATATATACATACATTTACGCATACACATCCCATTTTTATGTATATTACAAACAAGGACACATGCATGGATATATATATACATACATATATATATGTATGTACGCATACACATACACATGTACCTTTATTATGCATGTACATATACATGCATATGTATGCATATATATATATAAAAATATGTATGTATATATATATATATGTATATGCATATAAATATATATGTATGTATGTATATGTATATATATGTATATGTATATATGTATATATGTATGTATATATATATATATATATATATATATGTATATGTATGTATATATGTATATATATATGTATATATGTATATATATATATATATATGTATATGTATGTATATATGTATATATATATATATGTATGTATATATATATATATATATATATTATATATATATATATATATATATATATATATATATATATATATATATATATATATATATATATATATATATATATATATATATATATATATATATATATATATGTGTCCTTTCACTGGTGTAATGTTGCCACCCTGTGCCTTTTTTATAAACACTTCCGTGGTAAATGTTCAGATGAACACTTTGCTATAATACTTAGACTTGATGTATTTAAGCACAGTGCTAGATTGGTGGCCACCACTCTTCAGTTCACAGTTGAATTTGCTAGATATAACTGTAAATTCTATGCTAAGAGATTCTTTTCTTGTATGTCTCACTTTTGGAACTACCTTCCAGCTCCATGCTTTATAGTTAACTTTAATCTGCAAACATTTCAATGCAATGTCAATTGCTATCTGCTGTCCTCCTGATTACTCTTAGTAATGTTTCAGTTTCTAATTCTTACACACCCAGAAATCCCTATATATATATATATATATATATAGCTGCTTTCTCTGGTTCCCAGACTCCTTGAATTCAAGCGCCCTACGAGGCTGGCCTCCCGCTCCCACCCTTACACCGTAGATACCTTCAAATGTAGCCGTCTCTTCTATTCCAATAGCTTCATACCTCGCACCTCTCGCCAGTGGAACACCCTCCCCAATTACTGTTTCCCTGAAAGCTATAATCTCCAACTATTCAAATGTAATGTCAATCAACATCTCCAGTTACCTTGATCTACCCACTATCCTTCTCCTCATCCTTTCTCCTATCACTCCTATCTGCTCTCGCTCCCGCAACCCCCTGCATCCTAGTGGCTTCACGCCTTGCTTGGGGCGTAATGCTTAAAAAAAAATATATATATATATATATATATATATATATATATAGAGAGAGAGAGAGAGAGAGAGAGATAGCGAGTGTGTAGCATAAATGCTGTTACAAAATTTAAAATTAATTCTACTTCTAAATTTTTGGTCATTACATTGTTGTTTATGATTTGATAATTGCCCAACAATGTATATATTTGTTTTTTGCAAAGTGTTTTAGTATTTACTGGCAAGAACGTCTATAGAAATTAAAAGAATGTATGTAATTGAGCAACATGAAAATGGACTGTAGCTGAAAAACAACTTGGAATCAATAGAATGCTTATCAAATGGACAGTCGATCGATACGAGACTTCTTCCATCAAAGATAATCTGAGACCAGGATGTCCTCACTCCCCCAGAATTCTGAAACTCATTAAACAGGAAAAAATCAAGTGTAATCCAAGAAGGTCAATCAGAAAATTGGCTAAGGAGGCCAGAATGTCGGAGAGAACAATGTGGAGGTTATGTTGAAATGATCTAGGGATTTTGCCATATGAGATAACCACAGGCAGCTTCTTACCGCAGCCACAGTGGAAAAGAGGTTTCTAAGAAGTAAGCAGTTGGTGAAACAAATGTGATAGTCTGGTGTAAAACATCATCTTCAATGATGAGATACTGTTCACTGTTGAACAGACTGTTAATCTTCAAAATTATCATGGGTGTCCATTTCTGAAAGAGGAAAGTCTCCTCTTGTTTTCATGTCCCTAAGGGGTAAAGATCAAAAAGAAAATGTACATAGAGGACATCTTGGAATGTGTACTCAAGCTGTGGTGCAATGCCACTTATAGTAGTGAATATTGGATACTTCAACAAGATGGATCAATGGGCTATACTGCATGTGTGACACAGCAGTGGTGCAGAGACAATTTTTCTGACTTCATCATCAATGAAAATGGCCTCCCTCATCACCAGATGCTCTTGACTATTGTGTGTGAGCAGTCATTGAGAATGAGGTTGGTTCTACTCTGCACCACAATATTGAAACACTGAAGGCAAAATTAAAGAGAGTAGAAGGCAAAATATTAGATTGGTGCAAAAATAATGTCCTTTTTTGACGTTCAATTTCAAAAGATCATAACTCCTTTCATAATAAACTTTATTAATCGAAATAAGAACCATTAGAATCGACACATTTTTGCCAACCAGAAACAAGTTTATTTATCCCATTAGCATAGAAATCCGGAGTTCTGGAAGCGATGAAGACATTGAAGGCCGATTCGGCATCATCTCGGCTTTTGAAGCATTTTTCGCGCAGGAAGTTGTCGAGATGGTTGAAAAAGTGATAATCGGTGAGCGAGAGGTCCGGTGAATATGGCGGATGAGGCAGAGTCTCGTAGCCCAATTCATTCAGCTTCTGCAGGGTCAGTTGAGCAACATGAGGGCGAGCGTTGTCATGGAGGAGAATTGGTCCCTTCATATTGACCAATCTCAGGCACATACGTTGGAGCTTCTGGTGCATTTCGTCAATTTGTCGGCAGTACTTCTCCGCCATAATCGTTTCGCCCGGATTCAAGAAGCTGTGATGGATGAGACCGGCCGCAGACCACCAAACAGTTACCATAACCTTTTTTTGGTGCAATTTCGGCTTCGGGAAGTGTTGTTGAGCTTCTCCGGCATACAACCACTGTGCCGAATGTCGCCAGTTGTCGTAGAGGATCCACTTCTCATCACAATCCGCTCGAGAAATGGGTCGTTTTTGTTGCGCAGAAGGAGCGTAGAAGACACCTCAAAACGACGATTTTTTTGATTATCGTTTAATTCCTGCGGCACCCATTTATCCAACTTTTTTGACTTCCCTATTTGCTTTAAATGGCGAACGACTGTTGAGTGGTCGACCTCAAGTTCAACAGCAACTTCTCGTGTGGTTTTGCGAGGATCGGCTTCAATTAAGGCTTTCAAATGTTCGTTATCAACCGCAGTCGGCTGGCCGCAACCGTCTACATCTTCGAGGCTCTTGTCACCATTGCGAAATTTCTTGAACTACCTTTGTGCCACACGTTCGTTAGTGGTTCCTGGGCCAAACGCATCATTGATATCATAAGCTGTCTCGGCAGCTTTTCGGCCTAGTTTGAAATGGAACACGAAAATCGTGCGGATTTGAATTTTGTCCATGCTGTTGAAAAGCCTGCAAAAAAATGAATGAAGAGATTGAGAACGGTAACGAATAACACGATTCGATAGATCGAAAAACGCGCTTCAAAATGATAAATAACATGGCTATATATATCAATGAATTAATTCAGAAATCATATATAAAAGTAACATATATGAGAAAACGACATTATTTTTGCACCAACTTAAAACCCATGGAGACAATGCATGTTGCCATCAATGACTTTCTAAGACTTCAACATGTGGTGAAAGCTAAAAGCAGCCATGTTAAATGAGATTTTCTGGTGTTATTTAACAGATTAAAACTTACCTTGGGTTAAAATTGTAGCCTGATATAATAAATTATTCAGGAGTTATGATTTTTATGAGCTTTTTATTTTGTAACTGTATTTATACCACACCTTGACCATAACAGAAAAAAAACAGTTTCACCTTATTAAATGGTTGGCATTGATATGATGCAAATAAATACTTTATTTTTTATTTTATATTTTTTAGAATTGCCAAGAGAACACATTACATTTAAATGAATGTTTTAATCTAAACCTAAATTTATTTACAATTATGTTCACCCTGTACAATGACCAAAAGTCAATCAAAGTCGAGGGTTTCAGAGTATGTGGATATGTCGGAAAGATATTGGTTAACCCAAGACTTGAACAGGTTAATATTGTCGGGAAAACATCCCCTTGAGACTCAGTTCCACAAAGCAGTGGTTTGTTGGAAGAAGCTATTCGAGTGTGTAGCATGGTGGATCTTAGTGATGAAGTTTAGCATTGGTGGAAATAAGGAATGTTGTTTGTCTGAACACTTTTCATAGGAATAGTGATAGAGCCACAAGACATTTGTGACTTTTCGTCTGTGAGAAAGGGGTTGTAGAGTGGGAAATAGTTCATTAAGCACAAGCAGACAGAGATGTTTCTGGACTCTATTTGGGAATTGAAGACTGGGCAGTTCCTGTCCATTTATGGCAACAGCACTCCTTTTTCAATCAGATCTGGCTCTTGTAAAGGTAGAACATAGCAAGAAGAATCAGGTGCTTACTAGAGCAGTACAGGGAATAAACCATTTTTCCAGCATCTTTGGATTGTAAGTATGAGTTCCACGTGAGATTTGGGATGAGTTTAAATCTCAAAAGCCACTCAAAGCATGGAACTTCCCTGAGGGAACATACATTCATCATGATTGGTGATAGTTCTGATTTCGATTCTTAAATAGAGAAAAATTCCAGTTTTTGTTCATTACAATATATTTTCTGCTTCCATTCTTGCCTTTTTATATATACCTATTTTCTTTCTCTTTATATATATATATATATATATATATATATATATAAATGGTGTTTTATTAAGTCAGTAGGAAATAAATCAGTGTTATTGGTGAAAATTTATTTATTTCTCTATTGGATCATGTTATTTAAGTCATGGCAATTATGTGTGAAAAATAACATCGCCCAAATGTCCGCCAAGACTTTGGCGGCACACCTCCACTCAATGGTCAAAATTTTTGATGATGTCTCTGTATAGTTGCTCTTGGATCTCACCAATATGCTTTATTATCTCATTCTTCAGCTGTTGAATTGTTGTTGGAGTGTTGGCATAGACCTTACTTTTGAGATGACCCCAAAGAATAATTCTAAAGGCATCAAGACACACAATCATGGTGGCCAATTGACTTTTCTGTTTTGAGAGACGATGCAACCTGAGAACTTCTCATTGCATTTCTGTTTGAAAGTCCTTTTTTATAATAGGCTTCGATAACTTTAACATGTTGTTTGATTGTTAAGATTTTCTTGGTTGAAATTGCCAAAGACTTAAGTTGTTAAATCTGAAAGAAAGGGAAAAAACATTAGACGCTTAAATTTAAAATCGGTCCAAGTTATTGGAACAGCCTTTATAATAAAAGTAACTGATTTCAACATTAAATAGCAGCAGCGATTGATATATCATAAAATCCACCAACCTAACCTGACTCATATAATATTTAGGACCCTTAGCTTCATAAATATGGCCCCATAGGAAGAAATCTAAAGGCGTCAAGTCGTATAATCATAGTGGCCAATTGACTTTGCTGTTTCAAGAGATGATTTGACCTGGGAACTTCTCATTGCATTTGTTTGAACGTCCATTTACGTAATAGGCTGAAAACATTGCTGCAGTGCATGAAAATGTGGACAAAAATCCAAACAACTCTATTTGTCATCGTGCGCAAGAATTGAAACTTTCCACAACAACATTACATCATTTCCAATTGCACTCTTGGTTGGTTGATTATGTTGACCAAAAAAATTTTGTTTGAATTTCCATTTTCGTAATAGATTTTGATAACTTCAACATGTTGTTTGATTGTTAATCTTTTCATGATTGAAATTGCCAAAGACTTAAGTTGTTAAATCTGAAAGAAAAAATATATATATGTGTGTATAAAAGTGAACATTGAAGTCAACACTCAGAGGCAACAGACTGTTTCATGCCAGACACAATTGTCAGGCCACATCTGTCACCTTTCTGTGTTGACTTCAATATTCACATTTATATTTACATACACTTTTATCTCTGATATTGAGCACTTTATCATAAAAAAATATAGCACACCTTAAAACTATATTTCATCATATATATATATATATATATATATATATATATATATTTCATCATATATATATATATATATATATTTTCATCATATATATATATATATATATATATATATATGTGTGTGTGTGTGTGTGAATGTGTGTGTGCATATTAAAAATTTCAGTTTCAGTATTTACTCACTTATCTTTATTAGTTATTAAATTACATCACTTAGCATCAAACATCATGTACCTTTATAGTCACAATTAGTTTGAATATTTTAGAGTATTCTTAAATTTAAAAATTTTGAAAACATAATGATATTTTTACTTTTGCTTATAAATAAATGTTGCAAAATAATATCTTTCCATTTACCTTGATACAGTCCATCTGATGACAAAACAGAATAAAGACAAGTTTGTTTTTGTCTTATATATATATATATATATATATATATCAGTTGCCAATTAGTGGGGACAAAAAGAAGGAAAACAAATTTAACCTATAAAATGGCTACCATCGATATGATTATATTTGTCAAAACTGTTTAATTTCTAGCATGATTGAGGGTAAAATGTCAGATAAATATTGTGTATACAAAAGAAAAAAATTAAAATTAATTTTATATTAAGTTAAAACTAAAATATTAATAATGAAAATATATGTTTTTGAATTTGCAAATTTTAACAGTATGTCTAAGACAATGCCCTAATCTACTGATGCCAGCCATACATTGTGAGTACTCCTTCAGAGGACTGTAGATAGCTGCAATCAACTTGGCCACTTCTGAAGAGAGGGAAACCTCAACAAAAAAACTTCTCTGGTTTTTGTTCATTATAATGGTTCATATGAACCTGTTTCTCTTTATTTTTACATATATCTTTCTTTCTGCTTATATATGCATACACACAGAAACACATAAATATATATATTTTAATCATATCACCCCATGCAAGGCAGTAAAGCCAC